TATGGACAGCAATTCCCCCCACTCCCAAAAAGTGCACATGTAAAACTGCGGCGTTAAACGATGTTAAACTTTTGCGCTGGTGCACCTAAGAAAACAACGTTAGGCGCACCAGTGCAACCGTGGCAAATAGTTAGTCTAGAGCCCTCCCTCTAAGTCTAATATGTAGGGGAAGGAGCTGGAGCCTATCCCAGCTGTCTTAGGGTTTAAGTGGGTTACACCCTGGACTACCCTGTAGGTATTTAAAATCACAACACTGTTGTGTTGGTCTTCATAAAAATGTTTTCAGAATTTTCAGAACCGTTATTAGGCTTGCCTTATGAGTTAATAGTTCGTAGTTGTACATCCTTCGATCTTTAGTCTTGTTTTGCTTTTTTGTTAATATTTAAAACAAACAAAAAACCCTTTGGTTTTTCATTTTAAAGTTTGGGGACCTTCGTTATTTTTGACAAAAATAAAACTTGTAATGTAATTGTAATGTATTCTGTCCCTCGGGTTATTTCTGAGATATGTTATGAGTTAGTTATAGGACGGGTCATAGTCATTTGTGCTGTAAGTAATTGAATAGATCTGTCAACCAACGTGTTTATTCCTGGGATGCTCCTGGCAAAAGCTTACCATCTAGTGGGTCAACAGCAGAAGATCAGAAGCTCATATTAAGGCAGTTTTTGCTCCTCGCACTCAGCAGGTCCAGTGTTTCGTGCTTCTGATGGTTCCTGCTTCTGTTTCACTTGAGATGGGATAACCTGATACCTTGTCCAGTGAAGTGATGACCTTCTTTTGTGTTTATGGAGTTTGTTACATTTACTGGTGTAAGTTAGCTGTTCATGCTTTGTTTTGCCTGTTAGCATGGAAAAAACACGCCATGCGGCGTATGGGTTTTGCTACACTACTTGCCATGCTTTTTTATTCTGATGTTGTGATCTCGTATTGTTTTTTTGTTACATATGGTAGCAGTATTGAATGTAGCATTTATGTATTTTTTATGTACACCAAATGGACCTTACTCTTGGAAGGACCTAAATGGACCTTACACTGAAGCCATTTATGTTTAGCTTGGTGCATAAGCTGAATAGAAGCATTCAGCTGAGGGAAGAAGAGTAAAAAGATTGTCCTCACATCAAGCGGATTGCCAAGATCCATAGACACTCCCCTCCAGCAACAGCAGACATGTCCAACCAAGGAGACACCTTGTGGTTTTCCCAACTGGAAGTTAGGCCAGAGTGCAGATCATGCCGGTCAAGTGGCTCAGCAGCGAGCCTAAGTGGAGCACAAGCACGAGCCAATGGTGAAGCTGCTTGAGCCAGAGCAGAATGCGCTAAAAACCAAATCATTGAATCAAGTTAAAAGAACAAATATGTCTTTATTCAGTGTTCCAGGTCATCTGTTCTTTTATACCTTGTTTTGAATGTGTACTATACTCTGGGGCTCTCCTCAGCTCTTCCCAGAAGTGTGGCACAGATGCCCCTCCGGTGGTCCTCCTTGGGTTCTTGCACTCTGGGGCCTCTGGATGTCTGGATCTCCTCCATGCCTGCTTCATGCCCTGGGGGACGGGGCTATGGCTCCCCACACCCTCTAGCAGATCGTTACATGGTATCTACTGTTATTTACTGTTAGCAAGATTAATGTGACGATGTTGTGTTTATTATGTTGCTCTCTTTTCTTGCTTGTTTTCTCTTTTTTCTTTTTTCCTCTGGAAAAATCCAGGAGATTTTTTCTTTGTAAGTGCCCTTTCTCCCTGTCCCCTCTCCCCTCTGTTTTTCTTTTCCTTCCTCTCTTTCTTTCTCTCTGTCCTTTCCCACAGCCATGTCTGTCACGTCTGTAACAACTGAAAATAAAATAAAATAAAATAACAACAACAGGTCGATCAAATGGACCGTGACGATTCATTTGGTAAAGTAAATCCGTTGAGTGTCTTTGTTGGTGTTCAGACAGACATTTAAATTTTTTTGAGCTATTGGGTTGTTAGACATTAACAATGACACA